TGTAACAGTTCTGGGAGGCAATTATACAGAAATACGTTGATGACAGACTTTGCTCGGAATTTACTCGGCAAATGCGTTTCCATCTCCTTTTATTCGCATTAACCCTTTTTCGCACAAGTCAAAAACTACCTCAAGTGAGCGTAAAAACTTTTTTTGCGAACTAAGGGATTTTTATTCGAAATTTGCCGTTTCCATCACTCTCTTCTGATGCGATACTTCAAAATGCGCATAAAACAGGGTGATGGAAACATAGCTAGTGATACTAAATGCTATTTAAATATGCAGAAATGCAAACAAGATTTGTATGGAAGCTTATTTGCGCCACAGAATAAATATATATAAAAGGTATTGTGACTTTCGATCTCATTATTCCAACCTTATTCTCACAAACGCAAGTATGTATCTTGCAATTTCAAGTTATTAACTCATAAATCTTGTTTGTTTTCCGCCACGCATTAAAAAAAAGTTTTTTTTTCTCTCAGAGAAAAGTTATGTCTCTGAGAGACAAACTCAGAACTGCAAGAAAAAAAGTGCAACTGTGAGATTAAAAATCACAATTATTTACTTTATAATATTTTAATAGGTTTTAATATTTTATTCCTTGGCAGAAATAAGCTTCTGTAGATTTGAGAATTATAAGACACACTTTTTGACGTCTGCATTCACTTTCATTGTATGGAAAGGAGCGTCTAGGACATTCTACAAAACATCTTTTTTGAGCAAGCAAAGCATAGGTTTGGAACAAACATACAAGGTAAGTAAATGATAACAGAGCTGTCATTTTTGGGTGGCAGCGACAGAAATAAACATGAATAATTCACTGATCTAAACCTTGGCAGGACATGATTCTTTACAGTCCTCGGAAATCCACACATTTTCAAGTTTAAAGGCCTCGAATGTTCACGGCCAGTTGCTCTCCGGCTATTCAAAATACTACAGGCTTTTATAACTACGCAGTTCCAGATTCAGTGTAAGGTTTAGCTGAGGTCTCACAGCTTGTTTGCCTCAATTTTAACAAAATCGCACAGCAGAATAATAGAGAGTGTGAGAAACAGCCTGAAACTGAACGCCTCATGCGTGGGTGGAAATGCAGACGCGTAAAAACACGCATGGCATGTCCTCGATAACCGCTCCGGCTTCATCGCATGAAAACAGCAGTCTGCAGGGGCAGAGCACACAGTGATCAAGCGAATTTAGAGTCGTGTCGAAACAGTCTTTCAGCAGATGGTGCGAATAAAAGGCGAAAGAATATCACAATCGTAATCGTGATATTAATATTTGTAA